CCTCTGGACGGCGAACCCCTCAGGGTCATGAGAGCCAAGCCAGAGGTGCCCAGAGCAGGACTACTGGGCAGATTTCACAGGATGGTGTATGAGGAAGGAGGACCAGAGCCCTGAGCAACACATGGCCAGCCAGCCTGAGATCCCAGGAAAGGTCGCCACAGTCTAGCAGGGGTGACAAGGCCTGTGCCATGCTGCACAGACCCATCCAGAGAAACCCGCAGGCCCGCACACCATCCTTGTGTTCCCACTTGCGGTTATCTGCCTGGTTTCAAGCCAGCCCTCGTTGGCACAGGGCCCACTTTCCTGGAGGACAAGGGCACGTAAGCTCATTCATTCATTCACCCAGCACCAACTGTATGCCAGGCCTGTACTAGAAGCTAGGGAGCCAGAGGTGCATCAGGCATAGGCCTGTCCTTCAGAAGCCTCTAGTCTGGCGGGGAATGGACGTGTGACAGAGAGCTAGCATTCTATGACACAGTAGAGTGCTAGGAGCCAGACCCAGGAGCCAGGGCTGGTTTTCTGGAGGAGACATTTTTGTCCCTGCCTTAAAGGATGAGGCTCTCAAAGCAGGGGACCTGGGATTCGGTTGCCGAGAGCCTCCCCAAAGCCAAGAGAAATCCTATATCTGAGCTCCCCTCAATCTCTATTTTTCTCCATGGGTCCCCTCCCCCCAGTTTCCTGAAAGCCGGATATTCCTGCAAACAGCCTAGGCCGCCTCCACCCAACCTCAGCCCGAATCGCCTGGGCTCAGAACAGCTGTGCTGCAAGGGGCATCCGGGCCAGCCCCAGGTCCCACCACACAATGGTGTGCCACCCAGCCAGGGGAAGTCATTGTGCAGCTTCGGCCCTCTGCCTAGCTCCAGGCCACGGGCAGGGAGGCCAGGCTTGGGGGAAGGGGTTATGTGGTCGTCGTCAAGGAGGCCCCTGCAAAGGAAGGGCTGGGCCCAGGGAGGAAGGACGGAAGGCAACTGGGAGGTCAGGCACTGAGCCCAGCCTCAGAGGCACCTTGGCAGGGGTATAGGGGGCAGCGAGGGCCTGACCACAGCCTCCCTGCTACATGAACTGCAGTCAGCAGATAATATAGTCCCAGATAACAAGCACTGGCATCTCAGACTGGTGAGGACCTGCAGAAATCGCTTGTCCAGACAGGACAGAAAATCTCCCAGGACTCCCTTCTGGTACGCATGTCCCCAGCAGTAGCACCATGGTCGTCTATGAGCTGGGGACGCTGCCGGCAGTCACCTCGTCCTTAGGGTAGAGGGTTTTTCTGTTTCTGACACTTGGGCCCTACTGCTGCTGTGAGCCCTGCTTTCCTGCGCAAGGTCAGGAAATCCCATCTTTTGATGTGCCTGGCCCTCTCCCTATGGTGCACACCAAGGAGGCCAGCCTTCTCTGAGCCAGACCCTTCCCTTAGCCTGGCTTTCTGGGGGCTGTTCTGCAGCTGCTGCACATACAACTGGCTATGTTTCTCCAAGGGACCCTTGGGATCAGTAGTTAGCTGAGGGTCTTTCCCTTCCCCGCCCACTGATGCAAGCCGGAGGGGTATATGGGCCACTGTGCCTCTCAGAAGTCCTGTGATCTCACAGCTGCCAGGCAGAAAAGGGAGTAGAGCCAGGCACGGTGGCTCACGCCTATAATCCCAGTACTTTGGGAGGATGATATGAGGACTGCCTGAGCTCACGAGTTGGAACCCAGCCTGGGCAACTTGGTGAGACCTAGTCTCTACAATAAGTCAAAAAATTAGTCGGGCATGATGGCACATGCCTGGGGTTCCAGCCACTTGGAAGGCTGAGGCGGAAGGATCACCTGAGCCCAGCAAGTTGAGGCTGCAGTGGCCATAAGCATGCCTCTGCATGCCAGCCTGGAGGACAGTGAGACTCTGACTCAAAAATTAAAAAAAAGAAAAGGGAGTAGCAGGAGCCAATGGAGGAACCCACATGTCAGCAGCAGAGTCTTCTGGACCTATGAGAAGGCCCAGGCCAAGGCGTGCAGAGCAGAGATAGGAATGTTCCTGGTGTGGCGTGAGGTGGAGCCATGGACTTGCGGGCATAGGTTCATCTCCAGGACCATGGCGTGTACTATAGGCAAGTCCAAGGTGAAGGCCACGCCAGGCCCTGGCCTATCATGCTGTTCAAGCCTGTCCAGCCTCCTGGAACCAGGAGACCCGGGCTTTAGTCCCAGTCCCACCATTCACTTGCTTTTGACAAGACACAAACCTTTCAGAACCTCAGCTTCCCTATGCATTAAGTAGGAATAAAAAAAACCTGCGGAATTTTCGGAGAGGGGTGGTGAATCAAACAAGTAATGACGTGTGTGAAAGTGTTCTCGAAAGCTTGGAGTATTATAATAGAAAAGACAAAGATACAGCATGCGTGCTGCCACTTCCCTCAGCTGTGTCCTAGGCAGACATTGCTAGCCGATCTCAGCACTTTCTTACTAAGCATACTGATACTTTAGAATCCCTCTCAACATATTCCAGGAAGCCATACCTAGAGATCAGAATTGCAAAAGAAAATGAAACCTCTGCCCCCCCCACTCCCCCCACCCCCATCCCAGCCTTCACAAGCCCAGGGCATTATTGCTGTTGAGGAAATCCCACCAGGCCCAGATGAAGCTGCTAGGAGTCAGAACTGGTGGAAAATAAGAGAAGGACCTGCCCACCGTGAGTGGTTCAGAGAACAGAACCCTGGCATCCCGGTTCAGTCCATCACCCCATAGCTATGTATCAGTCATCAGTATTATCAGTTCTGCAGCAGGGTCCAAGGGCCACACTATTATGGGACCCTGTACCCTCTCGGAGCTCACAGAACTGTTAGGGCGACATAGTGTCATAGGGTAAAGATAAGCAACCATGCAAAGCAGGGAATACCCAGTGAACGGCCCAGATGGTCAGTGCTCTCTGCGGGCTGGGCCAGATGCTCAGTGGGGCCATGAGTGTCTGTTTTCAAGCGGCCTTTGTACACAGCATCCTGGTTGGCAGCCCCAGTACCTCTTTTGCCCATCGCAGTTCCCTGAGCAAATGCTACCCCAACACTGTGAGGCCGGCTATGACGTGCTCGGGCCAACACCCGGGAAGGCCTCCTCCAGCAGGCAGGGCTACAGTGCCCAAGTTGATGCGTGGTACTGGCAGGATCTTTGCAGTTCCCAAGCCCCCGACCATGGAGCACTCCCTGAGGAAGGCCATGTGTCAGGCCCTGCGTGCAGGGGGAGCTCTGACCAGCAAGAGTCTTTCCAGAAGGAGGTCCTGGGCCTCCTGCATGCCCACCCCAGTACCCATCACCACACATTCCCCCCGGGCAGCTGCAGCCTGACCACCAGCAGTTACCAGCGGCCGCCGTGGTATGTTTTTAGGGAGCATCGCGGCCCCTGCTGTGTCATCAAACCTCTCCTAAAGGTGCCTCCAATTCCATTCCCTCAGCCTTTCCCTTGGAGGGAATAAAGATGAGAAGTCTCTATTAAGTGTGAATGCTGGAGATAGGTGGGACAGCCCTAATTCCTGACTGATCTCCTGACAATGAATTCATTCCTGAAAACACAGACTTCCCTGCCAGGACCGCAGTCAGTGCCAGGAATCCAGTGCCCCAGGAGCCTCGGCCCCAGCCCCACCCTGCTCCCGGTGCAAACTTCCTCAAGCCCTACTCCTCCTGCCCCTTGCAGGCGCCATGTTCCCACTCCCCACGCTGTCCCAGGCAGCCCAGCCCACAGCCACCAGGGCTGGCACCCAAGACACTGCCATCCTGGCCCACACAAAGGGCTGCTCCCGCCGCCTGCCCCTCCCCAGCAGCGGCAGGGCCCATGGATGCAGATGGAACCGGGAGCTCAGAGTAAATTTCGCTGAAAACAGGAAACCACAAAACTCAGATGCGTTTCACTTATAAGGGTCCAGAGCAGAAACAGGCGCAAGCAGTGCAGGAGGAAGCTGGGGAGGAAGTGTGGTGACTGTTTTGCTGCGGGGCACCTCCCTCTCCACTCAGCAGCAGCTGGCCTGGGGTCTGGCAGCCAGATTCTTAGAAGTTGACTCTGCCTGGAGGTCAGACACGGAGGGCTGGGGCCAGGTCGCCCTCCCCAGGGAGCAAAGCACACTCTTCCTGAGCTGGAGGAATGGGAGTCTGGTGTGTGGGCTTGCCCTTCGACTGGAGGGGCAGACCAGCTCCGCCCCAAGCAGGTGTCACCTCCTCGCTCCTGCCCCGAGGGCCCCCAAGCATTTGTGAGAACAGCAGCCTCTTTCTAGGGCAGCTGGACCCAGTGTCCATGGTGGCCGGTGGAATAGAAGAGGGGACCCAGGGACAAAGCAGAAGCTACTTGAAGTGTCATTCGCATAGCAAGGCCTGAGCTCACCCCTTCCTCGAGGCCTGCAGGCCCCGAGCCCAGGGGTAACAGGCGGCCCACAGTGGCCCACGCCTTCGGGCCTAACAGGCAGCTCCCTGGCTCCAGCCACAGGCCCAAGGCTCACAGCTGCTGGACAGCCTGGAGCTGCTCCCTTTCTCCATCCCCCAGGTCCCCTAAGCCATCTGACAAACTTCTCCCTGCCTGCCGGGCCCTTTGTCCTTGCTCCAAGACCTGACTTTCAGCACCCAGACCCAGCTCAGCAGAGCCGGTGTAGGCTGCTGGAAGATTGGACAACACCCTACGTGGAGCCTGGGGTTCCTGTCCTGCTGGAGGCTGGAGGGGCCTGCCCAGCCCCGCCTCATGCCCACCCACCCTCTGGCATAGCCGTCCCTGTTTCTACCCCCAGGTATAGAGAGGCCCACTCACTCCCCTCCCAGGCTTAAAATCCTTCCATCACAATTCCACAAAGGACTTTCCTTGTATACATGTATAAAACAAATCCAGGTCATGTCCAGAAGAAGCAGGAGATGGGAGCATGCCTGCCCCACTGCTCCCAGGTGCCACCCAGACTCGACCAGGCATGGATTGCAGGGAGGGAAGACCAACGGCAGGGTGGGAGGAGGAGGGAGCCCTAGGCCTCGGGCACTTTAGAAGCAGAGTGGGCACGTAAGCCTGGCTCTGACAATGGATCCACAGGGCTTGCACCTGTTGCCCCCATAGTTTTTAATAGCACGCCCCTTTCACACTCAGCAGCATCTCAGTGTGGACAAGACATTCCATGGCACCCTTGCCATGACCCATGCTGAGCAGTGGGAGTAGGGGATGGGGAGGGTGGAGGGGAGGGGAGCCCCTCTCCACTCACCTTCCCAGCAGGCCCCACCCACCCCTCATAGCCATCTGCGGTGGGTGGTGCAACCTCTGGCCTGGCCTCAGATTGCCCAAGACACCAGTTGGCTCACGGTGGCCACCGGGCCCCAATACGGACTTCCTGTTTTGGGGTCACTGAGCTCTGGGGGCCAGAATGCAGGCAGTGGGAGTCCCAGATTGGCTTGACCTGTTGACAGATCCTCAGAGAAATTGCTGGTCAGAGGCAGCTAGGGAAGGCTCTGGTGGCTGGGAATAGGTAGACCTATCCCAGAGCCCCCGTGAGTAGAGAGAGTAAGTCTCACAGATGAGCAGCTTCAGGCAAGACGGGGTCAACCGCAGAGAAGTCTCTCCACAGCTTGTCCTATGTCTCATGCCTGGGAGAGGGGCACTGGGTGGTCTGCCCAGTACCCATCTTGTCCCATTGATGCCACCACGTCCTAAGGCTCACGTCTGGGGGAGAGGCTGCAGAGCTGGAAATTCTGGCACTTCTTAGGATGCAGATCATTTGGCATCTGTAGCTGGTGAATTGCAGGTCTCGGGGGGGGTTCAAGCACCCCAACATCCTTGGGACAGGGGCTGAGTGACCCCATATCCTCTCCCTTCCCCCGTGTGCCATCCAGGGGATTGAGGGCCCGGGCATCAGCGGTATTGCAGAATCTAGGCTCAGAGCAGGAGGGAAGGAGCCAGGGAGGCCACTCACAGGGCTAGCCCCAGCTTAGCTGCACCTGCCCCAGACCCAGCCACAACTTCCCACTGTCCCCTAGCTGGTTTAGATGTCCTCAAAGTTTGGGGAGTCCGGGACAGGGTCTGCAGAAAGAAGGAGAAGCCACGTGAATGGGGACTCTTCTGTCCCTTACCCAGCAGCCCCACACCATGAGGAGTGAGCCTGATGCCCTGCAGGCCACGGGGCCATGACCTTGTAGGTCACGGTGCTGCAAGGGTCAGGAAACACTTACCCAGTGAAGGGAAGAAGACATCCCCAGGGCCCGGAGGAGACAGGGGAGTGCTGGGCTCGGAGAGCAGGTGCCGCCCAGACTCAGAAGGCTGCCGCTGGGCCACATAGGACAGTGGGGGCCTGGGCTTGGCCTCGGGTATCCCCTGGGTGGGTGGTGAGGCCTCGAAGCCAGGGTTTTCGATCCCTTGAGTGTTGCTGCCACAGAATCAGAATTCAAGGTCATCTGTGTGCCTAGAGAATGGCCTCTGCCCTCCCTGCCTCCCACTCCTCTCTCCTCTGCTTTCCTCATCCCCAAGTTTCAGCAACCTCTCTGGGCGAGAAGGCAAGAGCCAGGCCTGCAGAGAAAAGGCATGGGCTGCGCTCTCCCTCCTGCCCTGAGCTGAGGGCACCAGGGCTGCACCCCAGTTCCTCCCTGTGGCCTGACCAGCAGCCCCAGGCCTAGCCAGGAAGCCTGGGATCAGGGTCACTTCCAGGAACACCAGCCTCAGGAGTTTGGGGACAAGTTTCTCTTCGGTCAGTAAAGTTGATGGCATCAGGCTTGAACGTCCTCAGAGCTTGTCTTGAACCTAGGGAAGGGGTTCCCTTCTTCCCGGTTGGGGGTGGGATAACCTCTGAAGACCCCGCCAACTCTGAGAGTCACGAACGGGACTAGCTCTGACCTGTCTTGAAAAATCATCTCTTTCAAACACCCAGGGAAGCTCTGGGTTTCGCGTGGTGGGACCAAGTCGCTGAGTGTGGCTCTTTCCCTAAGCACATCCTCCAGGCCGGGCTGCATGCCAGCTTCCCGCCCAGAGCACACCAACCACACTCCCTATCCACGCCACCCCACCCCTGACCTGCTGCCCACTCTGGGTCCCTTCCGCGTCTGCCTTCATGTCCTGCAGTGGCCTGACAGCTTTGTCCTAGGAGTGCCCCGCGGGGAGGAGCCACAGCTTTAGGGCCCGGCTGGGGTTGGGGCCAACCCGCTGCGCTCCTTTACAGGTTTCTGCCCCAAATCAACGGCTTCCTCCCTGTCCCTATCCTAGCCCGGGCTGACCACTGAGGCCCAAAGGTGGGTGCATGGCTCATCCTCACAGCATCACAGCGCAGCCTGCTGGGTGAGGGCGAGCAGAACAGCCAACCGGCACAGATGTGTAGGGTTCGGCAGCAGATGGCAAATGATCCTCTGACCAGCTGTGCTGGGCAGCTAAACAGGGACCCTACCGCACAGAAGTATCTCCTCCCTGACAGCTGGCCCTGGGGAAGTTTGCTTGAGAAGGTCGCCACGGGCCTTACCTGTCCATCCGCACCAGCTCCTGGGCACCTAGGGACAGACAGAGAAGCTGGTCACAGGAGGGAAGGCTTCCCTGGACAATAGCCCGGCTGGCAGATGTGCTGGGGAGACAAGAGGGGGCTGGGAGGACCCTGCTCCACCCCGGACTCCGCTTCTGTTCACGTGAGAGGCTGTCTGGAGTGTTCTACGTGCCTGTCCAGCAGGTGGGGCCCCAGTGAGAGGCCCATTTGGAGAATGATGAGACTGTCGGCATTTTCTACGTGTGTAGGACATCTGCCACCAGGAAACCAGAGGCCACTGGCGCTTTTTCCTTTGGCTTGACTTACACAGTGTCACATCGACAGGATTTCAGTATCAACCAAAGACCTGAATGTGCTAACTGCTGTTTCCTGCTTGGGTATGTGAGGCATTTTGGTTTTTAGCCATGACTTACTGGGTGGGACTGTTCGAGGTCAGTTCCTAATTAGAGGGTTCCTGGTCCTCTCTATCCCATCCCCTCGTCGGGTGGGAACGGGGGGACTATCTCTCAAGGGAACCTTGGGAGTCCGCGCACCCAATCAGGGCTAAGCCATTTCACCCACCGTCTGCTGCCTCTCATCCAAGCTACTCCTGCCTTGCTGCAGTCCCGGGGTCCCACACACGGACCCCAAACTGGTAGGATTTTATCGCACAGCTCCCCCCAGGGAAGAGAGGGTACAGTGACCCCAACTTCCCTCTTTCTTGTAGCACCCCATGTACTTCCACCGATCCTTCTCATTTTAAAGCACTTTACTGCTGGTTTTGATGGGGAAACGGATGGTGGGGGAGGGGCGCTACAACACAACAAACACGGGGAAGTTGCACAAAAGTTCCTGAAATCTCTTAGAATCGTGGCTCCTGTTGGTGGGGCGCCTCCCATGGGTTGGGTGTCATGCAGGTACACAACATGCATTCCCCCTTTCCGTCCTCTCCACCACCTTTTTGGGGTGAGGATTGTTGGTCCCATTTTAGAGCTGAAGAAACTGAGGTTCAGTCAAAGCCGGATATGAATCCACAGCTGTTGGCCTCTCCAGCAAACTGCCCTCCTCAGGGCTCCCAGTCCCTTGTTTTTCTTCTTTCCCGAATGTGGCTCAATCCTGAGCAGGCCTTCAGAGACAGGCTCCTGGCCAACCTCCCTCCTTCCCAGAGTGCACCCACTCCCCCGGCCTGCTGCCCCTGTTTACCCTACCACACCCCCAATTCTGGGTACTCCTGTAGGGAGTTTGCAAGACTCCTGAGAGTAAGACTAAAGGTGGCCACAGGCCCCGAGTGACCCCCTGTGGGGCTCCAGGTGGGGCCCCCGGGAATGAGGGGAGGGAAGATGTCAAGATGGCGGGGGCTAGCCGAAGAAGTCAGATGCAGGCCGAAAGCCACCTGGTGACAGAGCCGTCCTTCCTCTGTAGCACCCCATGATGAGTGAAACTGTCTACATTTTCTAAGTGTGTAGGACGTTTGCCACCAGGATTTCAGCCAGGCAGAGGGCACAAGGGCAAAAGACTCCTACCTGCCTGTTTTCGCAGGACTCAGATGGACCAAGGCTCACAGACAAGGTCAGGGGCCAGGCAAAGGGCACTGTCATCGGGAGGCAGGCAGTGAAAGTGTTTGTGGCCATGACTTAAAGCCCGGCCCCACCACTTATTTGCTGTGTGATACCTTAGGCAAGCTAGTTAGCCTTTCTGGGCCTCAGCTGGCTCATCTGTGAAATGGAGACAGTGGTAGGGCCCAATTTTGGAGTTGTAATGAGGAATGAGTGAGAGAATGCACATAGCAAGCTTGGCATGGGGCCTGACCCAGCAGCCCTGTCAGTTAGGGGTTGCTGGCTATGACGTGCAGGCTGACGAGCATTTTGGTTATATGGTGGAATCGTATCTTCTGGAAAGAGCACAAGTAGAAAGCTCTGAGGTTGTGTGCCAGCTCTGCCACCTACTAAATTATCTAACATTTGGTTAGCTAGGCTTAGGCTTCTCATCTGTAGAGGAAATGGTGGCTGGGCTCGGTGGCTCAGCCTGTAATCCCGCGCCTTGGGGAGGCTGAGGTGAATGGATTGTCTGAACCCGCGGGTTCGAGACCCGCCTGGGCAGGCGAGACCTCATCTCTACAATAAAAACCAAAAAATTAGCCGGGTGTGGTAGCGCACGCCTGCAATTCTGGCTACTCGGAAGGCTGAGGCGGAAGGATCGCCGGAGCCCAGCAGGTTGAGGCTGTGGTGGCCGGGAGCGGCCACTGCACTCCAGTCTGGGCGACAGAGTGAGACTCCAACTCAAAAAAAAAAAAGAGGAAATGGTGGAACTAAATTATCTCTAAAGCCACTCCCACTTCTGATATCCCAAAGGTCATTTTTGCCCCCGACAATTGGTACTAATTACAAAACAAGTACACCCCTACCTTAAGGCAGGTCCTCAAAGGGTCTCTGAGTGGCAGCATTTTTATAAAGTAATTTGAGCCACCATATATGCTTATTCATTCATGCAACAGATACGTATTGAGTGCCAAGCCAGCACTGCCTAGGAGCCAGAGGGGCTGGTGGGGACCCAGGCCCTGGAAATGGCATGCCCCCGTCCCTTCCTGTCTCGCGGCCATCGAGCCCAACTTCTTGCAGAAAACGTCACAGCTCCCAGCTCTCAGTGGAGAGGAACTGTGCCTGCCTTGTGCCTCTGCTAATCCCAGGGACTGTGCTGGGGCTGGGGCAGGTGGCTCACACCCCACCTACCCACCGAGGGCAGGGATACTCACGGCGGTTGGATACGGCCTGCCTTTGCTTGTAGACCAGCAGCAGGATAAGTGGGAGGCAGAGGATTCCTACGATGCAGGCGCCCGTAGCCAGGGCTGCAGCTGTGATGTCTGAAAGGGCAGAGAGGCAGCCAAGGTGAAGTCCCATTCCTACTGCTCCTCCCAAGGGGAAACTGGGGTCCAGAGAGGAAAGACCAGGCAGCTGGGAGACCCACCTTTAAATATGGTGCCACAACGAGAACCACAGCGACCCCCAAAGGCATGGAAGGTCTAGGATCTCCTTTCAAAGAGAGCCCCATGACACCCCCCATGTGGTCCTAGAGCATGCACACACACACGCACACACGCACATGCACACACACACGAGCACTATCGCTCACAGCTGCAGCAGCTCCAGGGAAGAATGGAACAGAGGTCTCAACCTGGCCTGTGAGGGTCAGGTGGACTGCCCTGGACTGCACGTTGTTCCCTGAAAAGAGGGAGCAGGGCCTTTGCAGACCCCATGCCACGGTGTTCAAGGTCCAAAAGGAGCCCAAGGGACGAAAAAGTTTTGAAAATAGTGCTGATGGCTACATAACATTGTAAATGTAATTTACACCACCGAATTGTCCATGTGAAACAGTTAAAATGTTATGTTTTGCCATAATAAAAAGCCTCAACTCACCCCAGAGATCCCTTAGCTCTGGGGCAGGGCTTCTGGAACCTCCACTTCTTAATTTCACCACACAAGTCTTGGGGGAAAAAACCTGGGGCAAGAACTAGAGAAGAGTGAATCCTTGTCTGACAGTTTCAAATTTTATTTGTATTCTTTTTTTTTTTTTTTTTTTGAGTCAGAGTCTCACTCTGTCTCCAAGCTGAGGTGCAGTGGCATGATCATGACTCACTGCAGCCTCAACCTCTGGGTCTCAGGGGATCCTTTTGCCTCAGCCTCCCAAGTAACTGGGACTACAGGTGCATGCCACCATGTTTGACTTGTCTTTCTTTCTTTTTTTTTTGTAGAGACAAGGTCTATGTTGCCCAGGCTGGTCTCGAACTCCTGGGCTCAAGCAATCCTCTCACCTCAACCTCCCAAAGTGCTGGGATTACAGGCATGAGCCACTGCGCCGAGCCTCAATTTTTAAACATATTAAATTACAGAAATATAAAATGTACAAGTTAAAAAAATATTCAAATGTCTCCTCTTCCCCTGCACCCTGGCCCCCTCCAAAGAGACAGTCACTGTCTGCTGGTCCTTGTATAGGGTCTAGAGATACTTCCTGCATCTGCCGCAGATAATGGGATCGTGTGACAGTTGCTTTTCCCACAGAGCATAGCCTGGACATCTCTCTATATGAGCACAGAAACCCACTTCATTCTCCTAGGGTTTTATCACTCAGCTCCCCCAGATTTATTGACACAGTGGCCTCTTTGTGGACATGTTGTTTGATTCCTCCTTCAACATAAGTAATGTAGCAATGAACTTCTGGCTCCCTTATCTTGGCTCACTCTGGCAAGTTTATCTGTATGTAAATTTCTCGCAAAGTCCTGAGCCAAAGAGTATGTGCATTTTCTTTTAGGCCATTGCTGAATTGCCCTCCAAAAAGGTTGTAACCACTTCACAATCCCAACAGCTTGGGGAGGTTTGATTTATTTTAGTCCATCTGCTGACTGCAGGAGTTTTGCTGGGAACAGACGAGCCCTCGGAACCACAACCAGCGTAAACGCACTTCCTTCCCAATTTTAGCCCTTCCCTGGGCCAGAAGATGGGTTGGGATACCTCGTCACAGTGTCAGCTTTGCACCAGAGAGCTTCAGGAGGTGGGTGGGCTGTGGTCTAAATGCTGCCTTCGCTATTTCTTTGGGAATAAAGGCCGTTTTTGTACTGCTTGACAACCTGATGGTGTAAACAAGCTTTCAGGGGGTTTGTTCACACCGCAGAAGAGAACAAACTGTTTTCAGGCACTTCAGAAGTCCCCGCTGGTACAGGAACAGTTGCTATGCTAATTACAAAGCAAGTTCCGCTCCACATTAGAGCGGGTTCCCTGCAGATCTGAGCGAGGCTGCGTGTTGACGCGGGATATTGAAAGTAGAGACATCCTATAACTCAGCTGTTTCAGTGTCTCAAACCTCCACCAAAGGACCATGTTGCAGGCAATATTTGAGAAGTCGGTCGCAAAGCGCTCTTTCTAGCCATCGAAGCGGGTCTCCTCTGCACTGCTTCTAAGCAACACTTTGTGAGATTCGTCAGGTGCTCACTGATTCCTGTTCCCTGTCTGCCCTGGGACTTGGCCGAATCTTCCTGCCTAACTTTCTCTCCCAGGGGAGACTTCCCCCTCTGTGGCTTCTCTGGGGGATCAGGACTTGGTTTCACCTGGAGAGCTGGAGGTTCTTTATAGCCTGGGCTGAGTGTTGAGGCTGTGGCAGAGGTTCGAGGACAGGTTTGTGGGCCCAGCTGTGCTCTGAGGCCAGGGGCATGTCTGCAGAGCTCAGCCTTGCCACAGTAACCCACCCCACGCCCCAGCATGGCCAGTGCCTAGGCTGGCACCCACTGGGAAAGGGCCTTGCCTGCTCACCATCCAGAGCCCGACCCATCCTGGGAAGGTAATCAAGCGCTGGCAGAGGTAACTGCCAGCACCCCACTGAGGAGTGTGCCAGGCCCTGACACAGCAAGGTGGTATGGGAGGGGCCCGGCCTGCTCAGCCTGTCTTGGCCAGGGCCTGCCACGTAACCTGTGGGGATATGCAGGAAAGGGAGCTGGGCTGCTTGGTTTCCAGGAGGAGGCTGGGTGGAAGCAGACACAAGCATTTCCTGCTTTTCTGGAGAGATGGGCTGCCTGGCCCCTTCCCTGGCTCAGTGAAAAACCACAGCCCCTCAGTAATGCAGGCACTACTGAGGCACCAGCTTCCCCCGTCGCGTCCCCCCATAACCTTCCCCTACCCCAGGCTGACTCGGACTTTCATGGGATTTTGTAGTCTCACTCCTCCCCTGCTTCCCAAGGATGATGTCAGTGGGCTTGGGCCTACGTCAGAAAAGGAAAACACAGAGAACCTCTTGGCTAGACATCATTAAGCTGACTGGGCACCATGGCCAGCTATGGAGCAGTGTTAGGGAGAGCAGGACTGGACCTTTCCAGAGGTAAGCAACGGTAGACAGTAGCACCCAGAGGCCAGCCTTGAGGTCCACTAAGCACAGTGACATGGGTCACCAGACAAGTGTTTCTGAAAACAGGGCTGTGTCCACAGTCAGTTACCACCTACTTGCCATCCTGCCTCACCACAGGGAAGTGGATGCATTGGCTTGGAAAGCCAGGCCTAGAGTTATACGTCAAGGAGAAATACTAACCAACACTCACAGAGTCTCGCTCTGTGGCAGGCAAGGTTCTTGGAGCTTTACGAATATTACCTCATTTTAGCCTCATAACATAACCCTGGGAAGTAAGTGCTGTTCTAATCATCATCTTCATTTCACAGATGAGAAAACTAGGGCACAGAGAAGTTGAGCAACTTGGCAGACTTCTGAGCTTGCTCTTAACCACTTCACCACACTGTCTTTCACTAGCATGAACTCAGGTTGCAACTATGGCCCACACACACAGCACTTTTTTTTTAATTAGTCGCCAATATTTTAAAATTGAGAGAGTTCACATAAAATCTGTCAGGTATGCGGGGGCTTTGCTTCTGGCTTTGCTTGAAAATTGAGTGGCTCTAGGCCCAGTACAGTGGCTCACGCCTATAATCCCAGCACTTTAGAAGGCCAAGGTGAGAGGATTGCCTGAGCACCGCCCCCTCTCGGTTTTGCACCTGGTCTCTCTGGCATTGTCCCTCCCGACACCTCTCGTCTCTGTTCCCAAGACTGGAATCATAGACTGGTTTTCCAAAAACTGGTGTTGACAGGGGAAGGCAGGGTGTGCACACAGAATCGGGCATTCTGGAATCTCCTCATGGCTCTGAGTCCCCTTGCCTACTGGAACCCCAGTATCCCCCACCCCGGGACACTGGGGTGGGGACAGAGATGTCCACCTCACAGGGCATTGAAGCTCTTCAAGAGTTCATGGAGGAAGAAGCGGGACTAGATGGCTGCTAGGAGTGGAAAGAGCCATGCGGAGGCGAGTGTCACACATGCCCCATGGGTTGTTTGGCCACCCTGTCCCGTACACAGGCACGGGAGTGCATACACAGTCACAAGCCTGCTACATGGGAAGGAAGGGGCCGCTCGCAGGCCTCTCTCCACTCTCCACAGAGAGCCAGCAGGTGCTGAGGTGACACCTGGGCTCTGCAGCATGCAGGGAGAAGGGCCTAAACCAGAGGCTCTCTTAGTTCCACCTAGGGCTGGCTCAGACCAAAATGCATGTTCTAATTTTGCTCTTGGCCTGTCTGTTTGTTGGTTCAAAAAAAGAGTAGTTTGAGTTGACAGTTGCCACGGCCTTTGAGTTGAGGCGTGATGGGGGCTGACGGTCAGCTGTTCCCCACTCTGGCTTGGGTCCTCACGTGTGTCCTCCTAAACACTTTTGTGTCTCCAGGGCATAGGCAGAGGCTGGTCCACACTGAATGACACATACTGGGTGGGTACAAGGACATGGAAGCCAAGACCTTCTCCTCTCAGAAGAGGGAGGCGTCCCTAAGATGTCTCTACACTGCAGGGCATTCTTCCCACCTTGTTCAGACACCCTTAGGGCATTGTCCCCTAACCATGTAGGGCACCTCTCTGGGCCAGCCAGGGGACTGACTACCACCCGCTGCACCATGGCACCGCGGTCCAGCCCCTTCCCCCAGGCTGGGAGGACAGTGAGTGAGCAGAGTCAGGGAGGCCTGCAAGCAGATCCCAGCTGTGCCACCCTGGGCTGTGGGAGTTTGGGCAAGCTAGCGCATGTCTCTGGGCCTCTCTTTCCATGGACACAGAGTGAAGATGGTGAAGCCTACTTTAGAGAGTTCTTCTAAGAATCCCCTGAAATGGTAATACTTAAAAGGACTTAGCACAATGCCCAGCACACAGCAGCACAGCAAGAGCTCAAGAAAGGTAGTTCCTCTTCTCCCTCCTACCTCCCCCACACAGAACAAAGGAATTTTAAGTAGTTGAATCCTGACCCAAGAGGACCCCCATGGCCCCCAGCCTTCCCAGGCTGCAGAGGGCTGATGGGCAGGGCGGCACCCAGTACCTGTCATGGGACACACCTACAGCCAAAGGTCACTGCCAGGACTCAGCCCCTCTGGGGAGTCAGGAGCAGAGACTGCCGCCCACCCCAGGCCCGCTAGAAGGGGAATGGGCTTCTGGGGGCTGCAGCCAAGAAGGGAGCAAAAGGGAGGGCAGCAGCAGAAAAGGAAGACTGAGGAGGTCCGTGGGCTTCGAGTGACCAGGCCCAGAGGTCTGGGTTGAGGATGGGGACAGAGGAGACCAGGAAAGCCAGAAGGGGCAAGAGGGTGGTCCCTTACTTTCACTCTCATGAGGGGAGGGTGGGTACGCAGTGCATTTGGGCGGTGCATCTTCACCTGTGGAGCAAACAGAAAGGGGGTTAGATGGGCGTCGGCCCCAGGAGGCTGGGGGTCTGTTCAGGCCGTTGCCCCCCCATCACAGGCATTCACGCTAGTACCCACTCAGCAGTGTTGGTCCAGGCAGCCCACACATGTGTGCACCCATGCACACACCCTGGCATGCTGTCCCACTGCCCGTTCTCATGCCCCCCCCAGGGGCATGTGGATACCCGTCAGCATCCACACTTCTGTCCAGTCCACTAGCCCTTGCATCCTCTGGACAGACAGACACACACCACACATGTATCCCCCAACAGCCGTGTAACCAGCCACTCACCCGATCGCAGAGCACGTGTCAGTCCTGCGGTTACCTGTCCCCATGGTGTCATCATGAGCACCCAGTCACAATCCCAGCTCAGGTGCATACAGCCTCACACATCAAAAAGTCCCACTGATACATATGTAGTCACATATGCCCCCCACCCCCATCACATCAGCTAACCACACACCCATACTCCCTGGAGGGCCAGCGTCACCCGTGCAGCTCCACCCATGCAGCTTCCAACACAGTGACATGGCCACACCTTCAGACACACAGTCCCACATGCTGTCCTCACCTGCCTGCACCTGCAGCTCCATGGCCCCGTGGACCCTGTGCTCCGAGTGGTGGTGCCTGATCTCCACCACCAGGCAGCAATAGAGGCCACTGTCCAGCAGGGTCAGGTTGCGCACGGTGATGGAGAAGTTACCATGGTGGTCAGAGGTCGCCTCCAGCCCGTGGCGCTGGGCCATGTCCTGGCTGGTGTTGGCGACCTGGTGACCTCCATGGTGCAGGTGAAGGTTCTGGAATGTGACATTGCGGATGGGCCGGCGCTCCGAGCAGCTCTGCACCTCACCCCGCGAGCTGCGGTACCATGTCTTGTAGAAGGTCACGTCATGCCCTTTGTCCACGGGACCCAAGAGCCTGCAGGTGAGGGTGACGTTCTGCCCCTCAGGACACACATACAGGGAATACGGCGTGGCAATCTTGAAGGCTGCCACCAGACCTGCTCAAAGAGAGGAGAATCTGGTCACCTGCCTGAGCCAGCACTACTCCTGGAACTTCCAGAGTGGAAGAGAACCATGATCTCAGCCACTCGCCAGCCACAGGCCTGGGCAGATCAGCTGACCTCCCCAAGCTTGCTTCCTCATTAGCACCTGAACCCCACTCCATCTCCAACTGTGTGGGGGGAGCCACAGGAGTTTCTCCAACTGGAGGTGCCCCGGACAAGGCAAAGAGGGACCCCAAAGCAGGCCACACACCAGGCATGTCCCTCTCCTGGGTAGAGCGTGGACCCTGGCTCCAGCCTCTGCACCCAGCCTGCTGGGTGGGAGACAGGATGAGAAGCAGAAAGGCTGTTTGGAACACTCTGCTGGGGCCATCAACCCCTTTACCCCTTCCCACTCCTGGTACTGGATATGCCTTTCTGTCTCATTGAGGAGCACTAACAGAGCACCTACGAGTGTGAGGCCTGTGCCAGGTGGCACCTGGACGCCGACACATGGCCTTCCCATCCACCGGGAAAGATGGAGGAACCCCACAGGTGAAGGCAAACCAGTGCCAGCCTTCAGGGCACTTGGAAGAGGGAGGACACGGCCTCCAGGGGTGGTTAGGGGACATCCTGAAGGAGGAAGGGTCTTTGGACTTGGTGGATAGATAGGATTTCAACTGGTAGGGAGGGTGCCCTAGGCAGGGTAGTGGGGAAACAGAAAAACCCAAGGTGTCCGGGGGACAGGGACAGGGAATGCATGAAAGGTCGTCTCGTCCGTGCACCTGCCTCCCAGCCAACCTTGCGAGTACTTTCTAGTTCAGTTTCTTTTTCACTAAGCAAATTACTCTGCCCTGATTCTCCAGCATTTAATTGTGCTGCCAGCAAAAGCACTGACTTTTGACTACAGAACACCAGGGCTGGAAGCCCTGTCCTCTATCCAGCCTCAGTTTCCTCATCTGTACAATGGGGAAATCACTAGTTACAACACAGGGTCATGAGAGGGCTAAACAAGGGAAAATACGATGCTCGAATGCCCTCTGCAGACAGATGAGGGGTGGCTGTGATGATTACACATCAGGGTTATTTGCACTTCAGTTGGCGTCTCTTGTTGGGGGCTCTTGTAGGTGTGGCAGACAGAGAAAGAGGGTTCGGAAGTGTGTACAGAGCCCAGACTGGTGTGGCTCTTCATTGCCCCTCGGACTACAGAGGAGATGACCCACCCAAGGTCCCCAGGGGAAGCCTAGCAGAGCAGGGACTAACCAATCTGTGCCCCTGGCTTTGTCCATGCCCACCCAGTCTTCCTTCTCACACACTCGTATGGGATGGGTGTGGCCACAACTATGACCAGGACAGAAAAAGGAGCTGAGGAGGACCAGGGAAAGGGCTCTCCCTCGTGCTCCCAGGAGGAACCAAAACCCACCCAAGAGTGGGCCCTAGCGTGATCTCTGCGCCTTCCTCAGCAGGCATGTGGCAGCACTCCAAGTCCCTCCCCCAAGAAACAGACCCTTTCTCCCTTTGCCTGACAGCATCTCCAGCCCCAGAGCCCCTCAGTGGGACTCAGAGCCTAATTCAGCTCCAGCAGTATCTGTCACCAGCACATCCAAGCTAGGCTGTCGAGGGCTGGCTGAGCAGGGGCAGGACTGCAGGCCTGGGTGGGGTGGAGGTGGGTGAGGGACAGAGGGAGCAGAAGTAAGAAGAGGAGCACGCTGGGTTCGGTGGCTCAGCCTATAATCCTAGCACTTTGGGAGGCCGAGGTGAGTGGATTGCCTGAGCCCGCGGGTTCGAGACCCGCCTGGGCAACTTGGCGAGACTTCATCTCTACAATAAATCAAAAAATTAGCTGGATGTGGTAGCACACGCCTGTAGTTCCAGCTACTTGGAAGGCTGAGGCGGAAGGATCGCCGGAGCCCAGCAGGTCGAGGCTGCGGTGGCCGGGAGCGGCCACTGCACTTCAGTCTGGGCGACAGAGTGAGACTCCAACTCAAAAAAAAAAAAAAAAACAGAAGAGGAGCACCAGGCTGAACTGGGTGGGGGCAGGGTGGGCCAACTTGACAGTGGACCGGGCGTGTGAGCAGGAAGGTAGGGCAGGACACCAGGCTGAAAGCCCTTAGGATCCACTGAATGGTGTTTATGACCTCAGGGTAGCACCCACAGTGCAAGGCAACAGGAAGAGACTTTATCCCGGAGGCAATTTCCTTGAAGCCCGCAGGGGACACAGAGAAAAGCAGAATTTAAGGGCAGCGGGGCAGGGGGCACTGCTCAATCCCAACAGCCGCCCCACCCACCCACACACACACAGGCCATCCACTCCTAGGTCCCAAAAGGACCTGTCCCCCTTCTAGGAAAAAAAAGGAGAAGCTGCGCTAGGATTCAGGTTTGGGGGACAAGGGAAGATGTTCAGTTTCAGGCAGAAGGGCCAGACAGGCTTTGTCCTGGGGTGGGGGAGGGAGGGCAGGCCAGAAAACATCCCGTTGGTTGTGTCTGAGACCACAGCCAGGACAAGGCCCAGAGCACCTGTCCTTGGAGGGCATTCAGGGGCACAGCGTGGGGGGAAACAGCACACATACACACACACACACAGAGGGGCCCACAGCTCCACACCTGCACACATGCACGTGTGTTACCAGGGAATGTGTGTAGCCTGGCTGGAATTATAATCATTTGGTGGGAGGATGTTGCTTATTGTCAGGAACAGATCCTTTCAGACACCTGGGTCATTGTCGGAGACCGGGGAAAGTGGGTGGAGAGGAAAGCCCCTGGCTCCAGTGTGGCCGAGAGCATTCGGGACAGGAAAATGACCCGGGGTCTGAGTATGTGCCAGGTGGGAATCATCCCGTCACTGTGCTGCCTGTGGGACCTGGCCCCCACCCCAGTCCCCACCCGCCACTGGGTAAGAAGGCCGGAGCACCTGCAGGAAGAATGCCATGATCCAGAAAAATGCCAGGTCTCAGGCTTGAGTAGCAAGACCCCTTGCTGTGTGCCCCTGGCAGGTCCCACCCTTCTCCGGGGCTCCTTCTCTATCTTTTAACCTGAGAGGCACCCCATGTTCCTTCTAGACCCCCTCCAGGTCTGAAATCCTGTGGACAGGAAGAAAGGTCATCTTAGGACCACTGATTATATGTGAGGCACTTGTTGAACACTTTACACTTTTCTCGCTTAATTCTCATAACACCTCCTGACATAAGTATTATCATCACCCCCTTTTTGAGTCAGGGTCTCACTCTCTCACCCAGACTGAAGTGCAGTGGCACAATCACAGCTCATTACAACCTCAAACTCCTGGGCTTAGGAGATTCTCTCACCTCAGCCTCCCGCGTAGCTGGAACTACAGGCGTGCACCACCACATCCAGCTTTCATCTCCATTTTAAAGATGAGAAAACAGTGTCAGAGAAGTCACAGCCCCCTCCAGAACCTTCCAGTAGAAGGGCGAGCCCAATACCTCATCCTTCAGCTATTTAGAGAGAATGAACTGACCCTGAGTTGACCTCTGTGACCTCCAAGCTCTGCCTCAGACACAAACAGAAAACATCATGGTTTCATTCCACAAATATTTACCAAGGTCCTAGCATGAGCCAGGCCGGTGGCAGAGAGGCTGTGGGAATGCAGAGTCCCTAAGGGACGTCAGCTCAGAATTCAGTCTGCTTCTGCCACTTTCTGGCTGCAGCAGACTCGGTCACAGATGGGGCTCAGCCTCTGGTAGAAGCTTCTCAGCTTCTCGGTGACATCTCAGGATGTCAGTCTTTGTGACCTTCACCTCTTTCCACCCAGAGGGCCCTAGTGAGCCCCTGTGGGTGTGCACGGAATGGGTGTGTGTGGGTGTGGACTGGTCTGTGTGTTTTCACTGACGGGGTGTGAGCTTAGCCCGCAGTCGCCAAGGCAACGCCCCAGCCTTTGGAGGTGGGTCCCCAGCTTGGTTAGTAGGGCCTAGGAGGCCCCACCCAAAAGGCAGCACCCTGTCCAGCAGCTAGGGGTTGCCAAGTAAACAGTCACTAATTGCCTGCTCTTGCTGGCCCTGCATTGGATTCAAAAGCCCCGGTCCTTGGCCTCATGGGGGCCCCAAAGAGACTCGGGACCTGGTTCCAGTCCCTGCCAGGCCCTGTCCCCCAGGATGGTCCACAGAGGCTATGGGGAAAGCCTAGGCTCTGTCATTATCAAGATGCAGAGTGCAGAGGGAAACAGGGGCAAGGACCAATCAGGACTGAGTCTGCCAGCACGAAGAAGGAAGCGCCCCAGGGCGAAGGCTGAGGGCCTGAAGCCAGCAAGTCTGCCTTGGGGCTCCTTGGCCAGTGAGGACAAAGGGCATCTCGGATGTGTTTATTGATACCTGCCCCCGCAGGAAGTGTCCATTCACATCAGACCAAGGGGGCCGGGAAAGGGAAGCCAGGCTCTATTGGAGGAAGCGGCACTTCCAGCACCTTGGGAACGCGTCCATGCATCCGGGGCTGGAGGCTGGAGGCTAACATGCCTCCCCAGGGAGGGCCTCGACAGCTGGCCAGAGGTCCCCACCAGTGGATGCTTCTCTGGATGACTCCATTCCAGACTCCCCACAACCCCTGAAGAGGACCATGTATAGCCCAGCTGTCAGCTCCAGGTGGCAGCCCTCATGGTCCCATTCCCTGAGGGCTTCCTGAGGGTCTGAGTCAAGTCTTCTGGCCCCTACTATCAGTGCAGAAAGCTCAGTGGTAGTAATGGCATACTACTTTGTGTCAGGCATCATTCTGAGCACTTTGACATGGATTCACTTATTTTATCCTTCCACTCTTTGTGGCAGGTACTATTACCATCTCCATTTTACAGGTGAGGAGACTGACGCACAGAGAGGTCAAGTAGCTACCCTAAACTCTCACAATTCATAAGTGGTAGTGCCAGGATTTGAACCCAGGAAGCCAAACTCTGCAGGGTTAGTGCCATCTGACTGCTCTCTAGAAACTAAAGGTACCCAGTGCTGACTGGAGGCCCCACCTCCTTCCTGCAGATGGACAGATGGCCTAGCCAATGAGGGCCCAGCTTGCTTGGGCAGCGTCTATATGTAGTTTTCCTTTTGGTTTTACATTAAATAACATTGAATCATATATAGAAAAAGTTATTCCTGTTTCAATTCTCTTTCAGTCCTGATTATATCAAAGAGAAAGTCCCAGTTTGATGCCAATATGGCTCCAAAATGTCTCTGTCCCACTTGCTAATCTCTTTTTTTGTTTTTTTGTTTTGGTTTGTTTTTTGCAAGGGACAGCAGCAGGTTTCAGGCTCAGAGCCTTCCATGGGCTAAAGTTTCCAGCTAGAATTTAATACCCTTATTTGGTTTTCCTATTACATACTTTTATGATTTTGTTCTATTTATGGCAAGTGATACTGGCTTTCCACTTACGGTGGTGATGGAAAGTTTCCTTTTAAAATCTACTTACTCAAACAAAATAATGAGTAGATATAAAGAAAAAATAAGTAAATATGATGCTAGGCAGACACTACAGACAACACAAAGGTGATAGGCAAATGACCAATGCCCAGGAAACACCGTCATGGAATTACCCTTCAGAAGAGAATGCTCAGCCTTGCTGAGACCATGTCATCCACCTGCCCACTGCACAGATAAGAGGAAAATGTGCAATTGTGGTCCCACAATGAACAACCAGCAGAAACAGGGCTTGACCCCAGGTACCTGTGGGAAGTAAGATCCTATGTGGAAAGGGTAAAGGAACTTGACTTGCTTGGTTAGTAGCAGAGTAACCGCATTACTGAATTACTGATGGGTGAGATGGTGGCCACTGTGTTTCTCTTTAGGGATGGCCAACCAAAGTGAATAGTCCAGGCATGGTGGTTTATTCGTGTAATCCCAGCACTTTGGGAGGCCAAAGCAGGAGGATCGCTTGAAGCTGGGAGTTTGGGACCCATCTGGGCAACAGAGCAAGACCCCACCTCTACAACAACAACAAAAAATTGGCGAGCCTGATGGTGTGCCCCTGTCATCCCAGCTACTTAGGAGGACTGCTTGAGCCCAAAGAGTTCGAGGCTGCAGTAAGCTATGATCACACTACTGCACTCCAGCCTGGGCAACAGAGCAAGACCCTTTCTCTAAAAATAAGGAAGTAAATAAAATATGGCAACCCCTTCAGATCACTTCCCACTGTGGGAGCATTTCTGTCCTCTCAATAAATCCTGTTTTCTCAAAAAGAATAATAATAATAAAATAAAGACCAGATGCAAGAAGGATCCCCACCAAAATAAGCAAACCCTGGGCCAGGCTTGCCTTGAAGCTTCACTATCCCCATCTCTGGACAACTTTCAGAGAAGAACCTGCAGTACCTCCATGAACCTTTCAGATTATAAGTGCCCACAGGTGTCTATCAGGCACCTTCAGACTCCGGGATGTTGGAGATTTGAGTCCCAGTGAAACCAGGCAATGCCTCTCAACGCCCTGGAGATTTCACAGGACCCTGTAGGCAGCAAGAAGCTCAGGCAGAAAGCCAATGGCACATGGCCTAGGGAAGCCAATAAATACCGTCCTGTCACCCAGGATTCATGAGCAGCCAGGGACCATGTTAAGTGTTCATTCATTGGCTCTTCACAGCAGCGCTCTGAGAGAGGTACTCCTGTCACCCCATTTTAAAGATGGGGAAACTTGCTCCGGGATGTTGAGCAACTTGCCCTACGTCAAAGAGCAGTAAATGGCCACCTTGGGATTTGAGCCCAGATCTCACTGGCTCCCACAGCCAAACTGCTCAGCAAGGGGTGTGCCCTCCGGGATGCCTTGGGTGTGCTGGTGCTTCTGATAAGGGAGTCCGTGGGGCCGTCGGAAGCCACAGTGCTGATCCAGGGTTCACCCTCCCCTGGTGAGGCCAGACTGGCCCTGAATCATGGTGGGCCTAAAGCCTGGGGTCCAAGCTCAGTGTGTGGGGCTCAGTCATTGCCAGCAGCCACCGCCTCCTTCCTTTCTTCTGCTCAGGCCTGAGACCCCATACACTACGTGCTTATTGGGAGGGGAGCCCTGTCAGCTTCCCAGCAGCGGTCTCTGCCTGTCCACCCTCTCCCAGGGAGGTTAGTCTCCAGCAGAACCTTTGCCCAGCTTGCAGGGAAATAGGAGCAGCCAGCCTGGCTCAGCAATGGGCCCCCAGTATCGCTGGCCCCTGAGTGTCACCTGGCATTGGGTGGGTGCTCCCTCATGCCATGAACTGGCCTCAGAGCTGTTTCTCTCCACATCAGGGCCTCAGGCAGTGAGTTGTGGATTTCCTAAGAGCTGCCCTTTGCGGCGTCAGAGGATTGCAGCACTGGGTTACTCAAGGTCCTGCAGCCTGGTTCACCATGAAGGGGAAGGTGGGGTCTCTCCTCCCTGGCCCCAGTGTGCCCCCGTGAGCTTAGATGTGCCAGTCCCAGAGTCTAGGATGCCTGGGTCAGCCTGTGAGGACAGAGCAAGAACAGTCACTTCCACAGGTCCTGGGAATGCCTCTGGAGAAAATGAGGCTCTGCCATCCTTGGGGTCTCCGGGGTCTTGGCTCCCCGGGTGCCCGCCCTGCACCCATCTCACCCCAAGGCAGACCCAGGAAAGGGGTATCTTCGACGTTCCCTGGGCTTCTGAACACCACATACACCACCACCATTCTCCTCCATGCCTGCCCCACCCCAGGAGCTGGAGAACAGACCTGCACCAGCTACTCTGTTTTGCCTTCCCAGGCATAAGGGCTTTGACCTTGAGCAGTCCTGCCCAGCAGCACCTCAGCAGGCTGGTGAGTGATCTTCTCAAGTTATAGAGCCTTCTAACCACGCCTGCAGCCAAGCCTCCCATCTGTTGTCTCCCTTGTTGCACACTGCACTAGGTAGTTGGATGGATATGTGAGTGTGCCCATGTTACAGCTAAGAACACTGAGGCCACTTGAAGGTTAGGAGGACTCTCCTGACTTTCAACCAAAAGCCGCATTGAGCCCCAATGACCTCCCAGAGCTGGACCCAGGAAGAGATGACTCTTTGGTGCACCCAGCTGTTTGAGTAGTCAAGATCTCTGGGAGTGGGGGTCTCTGGCTGCACAGGCAATAGAGGGTGGGCAGTTCTGAGTTCCTATTGGAACTGGACGCTCCGCAAGCCAGATCCCCATGCCCTGCTTCTCCAGAACTCAGTTTCCCAAATTGAGACTACTGAACACAGAGCAGCCCAGCCAAGTGAGGGCTGGGTGGGGGGGTGGGGAGAGCAAGAAAACAGGGTGGGCCTCACAGGGGCACTGGGAAGGGTGGGCTGGGCAGGTGGCCCATGACCATCCCCTGCTCCTTCTTGAAGCCATGCCCTGCCATAAGCCATGGCCTTGGTGCCAGGACTGCCTCACCCTACCCCCAACTCTCCCCTACCTTTGGCTGTTGTCTTAGGAAGCCTCCAGGCCAGGCTTAGGCAGCTCGGTCAGTGGGATGTGGGCTCCCTCCCCCTCAGAGGCCCAGATCGGCCTCTAAGTGCTAAGGTAACATCCTGCCTGCAGGTACCCCAGCTTGCTTCTGAGGTGTCTTCCAGGTTCTTTCTGTCTCCCCTCTCCCTGTTGCAATGTTGCCCTCTCCTTCTCTTCTTCCAACCCACCCATTGGGTCCTTCCAACAAGCCCTCCACCTCCCTCCTGCCTCCCTCTGACTCCCAGCATGACTCATATTTTCCCTGGGCCCTCCCTGTAAATTTGGCTCCACAGGCTCCTGCCGGCCCTGCTTCTCTTGAGATCCAGCCCCTCCAGCACTGGGCAGGCAAGAACCAGGGACCCGTCTGTGGACACCAGAGCTTCTGTCCCCACCACGAGCAGCCCCGATGTCCCCGGCCCCATTACTCTCTGGAGTTGTGATGGTCTGGTCTTTGGAAGGAGAAAGTGGTGCTTCCCCATGTGTTACTTTTGTGTTTGAGCTGAGGCAACGGGCCAGAAAGGGCCCATGGCCGAGCTGAGAGAGTGTCCACGTCCTTCTCGGGGTCCCACACGGGCCCCTGATGCAGCCTTGCTAGAATGGCAGGAATTGGCTGACTGCTTTCTCTGGGTCATCAGACACTCAGACTAAGGACCAGGTGTCAGTGCTCCCCATGTCCGGGAGTGGACCAGCACCCACCCCGACCAGAGCCCACCAACGCTCAGGCGCTGGCTGAGAGTGCCACACCCCCTGCACCCTCTGGGATTCTGAAGCCCTGAGGCCAGAGGGGCAGGGAGATGCCAGCTGTCAAAAGCCTGTCACATCCACAAGAACACACTGGCGCTGCTCCCCCGCCCCAGTCCTGTCCCTCTCCTGCTCTGCAGAGGCTACGTGTGTCCTGGGCTCTGGGCAGGGAGCGTTGGACGGGCAGCCCTCAGGGGACGGCCGTGCCTACTGCCTGGGCAGCTGTCAGTCAGCAGGTGTGCCCCATGCCTAGCTGGGGCACTTGACAGAGCTGTCACTGCACCCTGCCCAGCGGTCTCAGCAGCCCCCAGGCGGTGGGTGGAAGTGGGATGTGCGGTCACAGCAGGCTGAGGGTACGCCTTCATGCTCTGGCCCCCGCCCGGGCCTGCCGGCCTCTTCCCCGGCACCCAGCCTCCCCGATCTTACCTCGGGACGCCACCAGGAAGACAGCGAGGAGCAGCGGGCCCCAGCGCCTGCTGCCGGCCTCCAGGACCGGCG